ATGACAGCTGGGTGGGGAGCTGTGGGATGGGCAGATGTAAATCTGCATTGATCTTTCTGTGTGGTTCATTACTGAGTGAGGGCCCTGAACCAGGCCCTACAGAAACATTCAGCAGTTGATGAACCCAACCAAGAATCCATATTCCAGCAGGTCCGACCCTCCAAAAGTAATTCCAGTACTGTTCTTGAGATGTATTTCCCAAGAATTAAGAAAAGCTGCATAAGAGGTATGAATTACCCACTCCTTGGCAAAAGGACGGAGGGTCATACATTCTCCATTGACCTCTAAGAGTTCAAGGTCATTGCTACTTGATGGGAGACTGTTAAGGATGGTACAGATTGGCTTTGGTCTATGTATAACAGACAGAAAAAGATACAGCTAGCACATCGCGGGCCAGTGTGCGACACAGGGTACAAAACAGAAATGTTCACTGCACCATCAGTTTAAATTTCCAGCACACAAGTTATGTGTAAGATGCTACCCAGGGAGTGTTTTTCTCTCATGGATTGTAAATGTCTTGCTTTTTCTGCAAATGGGCAAGGAAAGACTATAAGAAACAATTCCACAAATGCCCCTGTTCTTTGGTTTCCCCGTGAAAGCCATGCTTTCTTCCATTTTCTTCCATTTTTAAGATCCTCAAATTGCAAAGCATGCAACAACACTGAAAAAGTTATTGAGTACTCAAATGACCCACTAGGGCTCACCTGCACCTTTGCAGGACTAGGAAAGCAGTGTCACGAGGGCGGACTCTTGAGAAACAGAAGAGCACAGCGGAACGGGCCTCCCTCCAGCTGCTGCATGGCCTCCAGGCAGAGGTGTGAAGCCCAGCAGCCGCCCATGAGGCGGAGTGGACACCACAGGCCCAGGCCTGGTGCTCACTGGAGAGCACGAGAGTGTGGCTGAGGAGGATGAGCCCCGTTGATGACCACACTCCATGGACACGCTCCCTGGCATCTGAATGCACCCTGAGAGCCACCCCAAACCTCAACTGCCACTGCCAGGAAGATGATCTCAGCTGGACAGCAACGCACTCACCTCCTCCACACCTGCTCCTGTGCACAGCGACCCCTCACCTCCTCCACACCTGCTCCTGTACAGTGACCCCCTCACCTCCACACCTGCTCCTGTGTACAGTGACCCCTCACCTCCTCCAC